TATTTGCGCTATTGTCAAATCCATCTCACAGAAGAGGCAAGTGGAGCTTAAGGAGACTGAATATCTAAGTCAAGACAAGACGCTGGAGTCACACAAGCTTGGATTCCAGCTATAGTCTCACAGAATTGGTGCAGTGACAGATGTGCAGCACTAGAAAGATAGAAAACACTCAATACAACAGGGGACTCTCTGCATTTATTCAACAACTATTTGGGGCCTACTATATGCCAAGCACTGGCCCCGGTGCCGGGAACACAGAGGAGCAAAGCAGAAAAAGCGCCTGCCCTGGAGGAGCTGACATTCAGTAGGGGAAACAGACAAGAAACAATACAATATATGAGGTAATTTCAACTAGCAACCCATGCTCTGAGAAAATCCAAAGAAGGATAAGAGTGGCAGGTGCAGGGCGACAAGAAACTGTTTCAGATAGAGGGGTCAAGGGGGGCCTCCATGACAGAGGTCATCTGAGGAGGTAAGGGAGGGAGCTGTGTAGGTATCTGAGGGGAAATGTTCCAGGCAGAGGGAACAGGCAGTGCAAAGGGCCTGAGGCAGAGTCCCGGTTAGATGCTGGAGGGACAGTGAGGAGGCCAGTGTGGCTAGAGCATAAAAAGCAGGAAGGAAAGTGGCAGGAAGTGATGTCAGACAGAGGCGGGCAGTGATAGCATACAGGGTCTTGATGACTATTGTAAGGAACTTGGACTTTATTCAAAGCATGAAGAAAAGCCACTGCCAAGTTCTGAGCAGAGGAGTGACATTATCACTATTAAGGTTTTAATAGGATGTCTCTAGCTGCCGGATGGGGGTCAGGGCAGAATCAGGGAAACCAATAAAACAGCTACTGCAGTTGTCCAGGTGAGAGAGTATAATCTACAATAGAAAAATCTGCTAGTGGGGACATCTCTGGTGGGGCAGTGGTTAAGACTCCGTGCTCCCAATGCAGGGGGCCTGGGTTAGATCCGTGGTCAAGGAACTAGATCCCACATGCATGCTGTAACTAAGCAGCCCACCTGCTGCAATTAAGGAGCTAGCAAGCCACAACTAAGACCAGGTGCAACCTGCTCTTAATATTAAATAATTAATATTATTTAATATTAATAAATAAATAAATATTTTTTTAAAAGTCTACTAGAAAAAGTGAGTTTAGTGTCAGTGTTCACAGAGTGGCTGGACAACTGACAAGGAGATGGCAGCCCAGATTCAGGCACTGGCTGGGCAGCCGGACCAAGGGAATGTGATTATTCATATCTTGTCAGCCTCCTCAACTAGAATGTCAGCTCTGTGGAGGCAGGGGCATTGTTCCCTGCTGAATTCCAGGACCAAACACAGTGCCTGACACATAGGGACCCAGTAAATAAAGAGTCAGTGAATTCTGAATGAGCAAATTGTGCCTTAACGACCACAAAGGAAATGTGACCGCAAGTTGGCATTCCAGAAAGGTACCACCAGGTGGCAGTGTTTCTCAAAACAAAGGCCTCCCACCTTTTTCTCAGTAAAGGAGAAATTCTAGCTTATCAGTGCAGCTGAAAAAGAGGGAGATGCGAGGAGCTTTTAAGGTTGCTCTTCCAGCCCTGGAGACCCAGATAACATCATGTCAGCAGAGCCTGCTGGAGCCAGGCTGAATTTCCCACAGCCCCCTTGGATCCCTCTGCCCTGCCGCCAACAGGCCCAGGCTCAGCACGAAATGCCTTTCTGGACAATTCAAACCCGACCTTTTTCTCTGAACCTCACTGCCCAGCCCCCTGACCATCCATCCTCCTCACTGTCTAGCAAAAGGATTTTTCTGGAATGCAGTTCTGACCTGTCACCTGAAATCCTTTACTGGTTTCCATCTCCTGTTGAGGTGTTTTCACGAAAGATCTTTTGTAAACACTAGCGGCTAAAAATGTGTTTCCCCAGTGCATCCACAGTCACCACCTGCCTCCTCTTCCTCCTGTTTGATGTCTCAGCACACTTTTACTTGGAGTTCCCTGAAATGCAGGGTCCGCTACAGCTGGAAGTGGGCAGCTGTCATTTCTGCCCTCCCAGACTCCTTAGCTCCATCTTCTGGTAACACCGCCTCGGTTTTCTTTTGAGGAAGCAACCCGCCCCACTCTCAGTCCACATAGTTTGGGTAGGGCTGACCTCACCTTCTCAATCCTGGGATTGGGTACATATGTGACCCAGACATGAGCAGTTGACATATTCCTTCTCCCTAGACTCAGTGATTTATTGGATCGTGAATGAGCATGCAACCCAAACTGGGCCTATGAGAACCATCCCTAGGAGTTTGGCTGGAGTAACTAGGAAAAGGATCTCTCATTCCACTAGGGACACCAGTTGGGAGCTACTAGGTACTGTCTTTATCAACACTCGGTGACAGCATGCCTGAGATGGAAACTAACACAAGCAGGGCTGAGAGGTGGAAAGAGAGTCCCGATGACATCCTTGGAGTCCCTGGATCCAGCCATGCCTGAAGTCAGAATCCATGGATTGTTTTTCAGTTACCTGTCCCAATACATCCCCTTATTAGCTTAAGTAATACGAGTTGTGTCACAACCCTCAGAGTACTGACTAGCACAATGAACACATAAGTGCATAAGTAGGGACTTTGATCCCTACAGGGTTGAAGTAAGAATTAAGGAGCATAAAATACTTGAAAACATTCAGTAAGGAATTTGAAAAACATGAAGTAATGGTGTCCATCCTTTAAGGTTTTACTAGCCGCTCCAGACCCACCCTCTTCCTGACCCCACCCCATCCTCACCAATCATTTCCAAGCCTCCGCTTGCTCTAACTGAGCAAGCCAACCTGTCGCCCAAAAATAGAATATAAGCTTGAGGGGGACCAGAGTCCCATCTTTCTGGCCCCCACTGGTCCCAGCTGAGCTGGGCACATAGCAGGTGGCCAGCAATGTAATTGAACTGAAGGTGGGCAAGGTCAAGGGCTCCTGTTTCACCTGAGGGCTCGAGTTTCCCTCCTGCGACAGGCTTAAGTCCTCCCACCCTCAAGCAACCATATGGTATTGTGATCTGGAGCCAGACTGCTGGGGTTCAAATCCTAGATTTACTGCCTAATAGCTGGGCAAGTCAGAGTAGCTCGCTACCTCTCCATGTCTCCGTGCCTCATCTGTAAAATGGGCGTGATAACACTATCTATTCCATCGGGCTGTTATGAGGCTTAAAGGAGACAATTTATTTAAAGCACCTAAAACAGTACCTCCCCAGCAGGTAATAAGTACTCAGTAAATGTTAGTGGTTTGTTTGTTTTTTGTGGTACGCGGACCTCTCACTGCTGTGGCCTCTCCCGCTGCGGAGCACAGGCTCCAGACGCGCAGGCTCAGCGGCCATGGCTCACGGGCCCAGCCGCCCCATGGCATATGGGATCCTCCCGGACCGGGGCACGAACCCGCGTCCCCTGCATCGGCAGGCAGACTCTCAACCACTGCGCCACCAGGGAAGCCCTGTTTGTTTGTTTTTAAGCCGTCCTCAACACCTCCCTCTACCACAATCAATTCCTGAAGTTAGTCAACTTTATCGCCTAAATCACTCATGAAAAAACATATCTTGCCTCCTAACTGGTCCCCATGTCCCCTTCTGCTCTGCTCCCCTGGGAGGTGGAAAAGTGAACTTTTCCCAGGTCTATTCATAAGACCTCAGCTCTGCCCAGCCTAGACAAGGGGGCAGATCCTAGACCTACTGCCTTTTTGACACCTTCCCAAAGGAGCAGAACAAAGAGGTGGGCAAAGCTTTGAGGCTGCTGGGCCCACCAGCCCAAGCTCTTTATGTAACGGGAACCCCCGGGGAGCTGATAACATCGTGTGATTCTGTCAGCGTGGATCAAACCGTGGGAAAGTGTCACTGATCCCTCTGCCTGGTTCCCTTCCTGGGTCCCCACTCCTGCCGTGTGACAGGGAAGCCCCTGTGGGTGCAGCTGAACTGAGAACCTCAGCCCTACACTCTGGGTGGCCACACGGCTGCATGCAGTCTCTGCACAGAAGCAGATGGGTACAAAAGCATTCCCAAGATAGTCCTTCTGCAAGTTTAATCTGGGGGAGTCTCATTTGCTATGATTTGGGAAGACAGCACATCCAAAATTACTTGTTCGTCTCTGCTGCCTGAATTTCCACCATTTGCCACTCAAAGTTGTGAGAAGCAGCAAGGGGCTAGAAGTAAGGGGATCGCCAGGTCCAAATCCTACTGGATCACCTTGGCTGGCCAAAGCCCGCTTCTCTCTGAGCCACGCTCTTCCCATCTGCTGAGTAGGGACATTATTAAAGACCAGAGCCCCAGAGTGCTGTGAGACAGTAATCGGGTTGGATGAGAGACCCAGCCCACAGAGTAGGTTGGTGATCAATAAATGTTGGATCCCTTCAATTTTGAATTGTTTTAAAGCTGCCTTCATTTAAATATAAGTTCCTGAAGGAAGCTCCACTGATATCTCCAGGTAGAGGGCTCCAATCAATCACTCTTCTCCCTGACAAAGGAAAGTTAGATGATATCCGCTTGACAAGGTGACAGAATTTAGATTTTTGTGTCCAATGGGTGTGAAAAGGTTATTCCTGGAATTTAAAAAGGATGGAGTCCTCCCCACTGGGGGCTCAACAAAAGTGGACCCTAATTTCAACGCCTGGTGGATACCACTCTGGCAGGGGTCTCTAGAGGGAATGACCTAGACCCTGGTCCGGTGGCCACGGCCGGCACTGGGACCAGTGCCCGGACTTTACTTGCCCAGGGATCAGTACATCCCATCCCAACCCCCTCACACCTCCCCCCCGCTCATTCACCTAAGTTTTAACCTGTTCCACACACACACCCAGTTCTTCCGCCCCTCCCCGGACCACCCAGCCCGTTTCCTCTCTCGGCTCTCAGCGTCCCTCCACTCCAAACCCTCTCCAGGCTTCAGCCTTTCTCTCGGCTTCTCAACACCCCCTCCATCTGCCTTGTGACCTCCCTGCCCGCGATGTGGTGCGTGATCCCACTCGCACTCCCTATGCCCCACGCCCTTCCGCCAGCTAAGGTTGCCAGATAAAATACAGGACGGCCAGTTAGATTTGAATTTCAGAAAAATAATAAGTTTTAATATAAGTATGGCCTGTGCAATATTGAGGACATACGTACACTTTAAAAGTATTTGTTATTTAACTGAAATTTAAGTTTAACTGGGCATCTTGGATTTTTATTTGCTAAATCTGGCACCCAAGCGCCCTCTGCGCCTTCGCAACCCCTCCACGCCTCACGAGCCCTGATGATCGCATACGCCCCCTCCTCCCTCTTACCCCTTCCAGCCGCGTGCGCCCTCCTTAGCGAGTGCGCCCCCTGCTCTCTCTTGCTCCCTCCTCTCTTGCACCCCTCAGTGCCCGCACAAGCCTATTTCTGTTGGGGGCCCCGCGTCCCTCACCCGAGCTCCTGGCTTGCGCGCCTCTTCCACGAGCCCTCCATCCTCGCGCGGTCCTCCCAAGTCCCGCGCGAGGGGAGGCCTCTCGCACCCTCTCCTCCCAAACGCCCCTCTATTCTCCTCGCATCCGTCTCCATTCCGCCCCCTCCCCCAGACTCGCGCAGCGGCGTCCATGCCCGCCCGAGCATCTTTCTCCGCGCGCACCTTTCCAGCCCCACTCTTCGCCTGGTGTCCTGAGCGTCCCCGTCCCCCTTGCTCTTGCGCCCCTCCAGGTCCAGAACCCCCTCCGAGGGCGGCTTCCTCTCTTCCTTGTACCGTCGCACTCCGGTACCCTGCTCCCCTCCGCGCTGGGAGCTCCGCCCATGCCACGTGCTCCTGGGGGCGCACCTGGGCAGGCCCGCGCGTAGTCGGGGCAGCAGTCCCGGACCTCTCTGCACGCCTGATCGCAGAAGCAGCGGGGGGGCCCGCGGGCCGCGCAGGTCGGGTCACGGCCCGGGCAGCAGCGGCCCAGCGCGGCGCAGCCCTGCCGGGACCAGAGCGTGCCCGACGGTCCCCGTGCCCAGGACACCGCGGCCACGGCGGTCAGAGCGAGCGCCAGCGGCAGGATCGGCGCCACGCCGCGCGGGGCCATAGCCGGGCTCAGGCTGGGGACCGCAGGCCGACCGGGACCGACCTTAAGCGGCCCGCCCCATTGTGGGGCGGAGGCTCCTGGCCCGACCCCTCCCCAGACCCACCTCCTACCTGTCACGGAACTGTTATCCACCCCCATTCGTCCTATAAAAACTTTGCGCGGCTTGAGGCGGTGAAATATCAAGATAATAGTAATAATAACCGCAGCAACTTTGCAGCGTATCCCATTGCCCCCAGGTTCCAGCGAGTTAGAAGCGATACAGAGCTTCATCAAAACAATGCATTATAATAGATAACAATAGTGTATTGTTATAGCACTAATAACAGTAATAGCCGCTATGCCATAATTATAAGAGCAACAATAGCTGCCAATATTATTTAAATAGTAATAACGGGCATAATAATTGCCAGGTAAGCAGCTTGAGAGCCAGGCTGTGTACCAGGCCCTTTGTGTATCGTCAGTATTGCCCGAGTCCCTTGGATACACCCTCCTTTTTTGCTATATTCCTACCACTTTAACTATCATTTCCTGAATATTTATCCTTAAGTTGACCCATTTTTTAAATTGTTAAATGAGTTATTTGTTACAAACCTGTATCACTCAAGAGGATGAGAAGAGGGACTTCCCTGGTGGTCCACTGGTTAAGAATCCGCCTTCCAATGCAGGGGACGCGGGTTCGACCCCTGGTGGGGGAACTAACATCCCACATGCTTGGGGCAGCTAAGCCCACGTGCCACAACTACTGACCTCGGGTGCCTCACTGAGGCAGCCTGCGTGCCGCAAACTACAGAGCCCACACGCCCTGAAGCCTGTGCCACCACATCTAGAGAAGAGAAAACCTGCACGCCACCACTAGAGAGAAGCCCACACGCCACAAAGAAAGATCTTGTGTGCTGCAACTAAGACCCGACGCAGCCAAAAACAAAAAAGGAAAATAAAATAAATAAAAAAAAGAAAAAAAGAAAAGTATAATAATAAAAAAAAGAGGATGAGAAGACAAGCCACAGGCTGGGAGAAAATATTTGCAAAAGACACATCTGATAATGGACTATTAGCCAAAACATGCAAAGAACTCTCAAAACTCAACAAGAAAACAAACAATTGGATTAAAAATGAGCCAAAGACCTAAACAGACACGCACCAAAGAAGAAATACAGATGGCAAAGAAGCATATGAAGAGATGCTCCACATCATGTCATTAGGGAAATGCAAATTAAAACTATGAGCTACCACTACACACCTGTTAGAATGGCCAATATCTGGAACACTGACAACGCCAAATGCTGGTGAAGATGTGGAGCAAAAGGAACTCTCGTACATTGCTGATGGGAATGCAAAATGGTACAGCCGCTATGGAAGACAGTTTAGCAGTTTCTTACAAGACTAAATACACTCTTACAACGCAAGCCAGCAATCGTGCTTCTTGGTATTTACCCAAATGAGTTGAAAACTTATGTCCATACAGAAACCTGCACATGGATGTTTATAGCAGCTTTATCCATAATTGCCAAAACTTGGAAGCAACCAAGATGTCCCTCAGTGAGTGAATGGATAAACTGTGGTACATCCAGACAATGGAATATAAATCACTGCTAAAAAGAAATGAACTATCAAGCCATGAAAACACACTGAAGAAACTTAAATGCATATTACTAAGTGAAAGAAGTCAATCTGAAAAGACTACATACTGTATGATTCCGACTATATGACATTCTGGAAAAGGCAAAACCATGGAGACAGTAAAAAGATCAGTGTTGCCAGGGATTAAGGAGGAAAGAGGGCTGAATAGGTGGAGCACAGAGAATTTTTAGTAGAGTGAAAATACCGTGTCTGGTACCATACTGATGGGTATATGTTATTATACATTTGTCCAAACCCATAGAACTTACAACACCAAGGGCGAACCATAGCGTAAACCATGGGCTGTGGGTGATAAGATTGTGTGGATGTAGCTTCAATTTATCGCAACAAACGGATCACTCTGGTGGGGGATGTTGATGGGGGAGGGGCTGAGCAGGGGTGGGGAGCAGAGAGTTTATGAGAACTCTGTACTTTCTGCTCAATTTGACTGTGTCTAAAACTGCTCTTAAAAATAAAGTCTATTTAAAAAGAAAACATATCACTACCATAAGTGGAAAGCCAATAATATTTTTTTTCATAAATAGAATGAGAAGGAAGGAAGGTTGGAAAGAGAGAGGACATGTAAGACAGAGGATATTGTAAGTGCGCTAAATCCTCATTTATTGGAGCAAAACTCAATAGATAATGTCTAAAGCTGATAAATCAACAAATGTCCACATGAGTACATTATTTAGGTCTATGGAAATAACAATGAGAAGAAATAGCTACAAGGGCGAGACACAGTTGCCATGCCAACTAAGAATGTGAAGATAGTCAAACTCCCTAATAAGACATTTCAAATGTAAAAGTACAGAGATACCATTTCTTACCAATTAGGGAAAATCAAAAATGTTGATTTCTCTTTGAATAGAATTGGGGAGGGTATGGAGAAAGGATATTGAGCATGAAGTTGGTGGACAAGTACATCAGCACAGTCTCTTTGGAAGACAGTCCATCAATATCTATCAAAATTAACAAAAGTGTGTATCTTTGGACTCAGGAATCCTTACAGGTAGAGGCATGTGTGCAGGAAAATGAGAGTACAAGGTTCTTTGCTGCTTCACTATAATATCAAAAAGTTGCCATCGGGTTTCCCTGGTGGCGCTGTGGTTGAGAGTCCGCCTGCCGATGCAGGGGACACGGGTTTGTGCCCCGGTCCGGGAAGATCCCGCATGCTGCGGAGCGGCTGGGCCCATGAGCCATGGCCGCTGAGCCTGCGCGTCCGGAGCCTGTGCTCTGCAATGGGAGAGGCCACAACAGTGAGAGGCCCGCGTACCAAAAAAAAAAAAAAGTTGCCATCAACCTCACTGTCTCTCATAGGGGCTGGTTAAATCTGTTACGATCCATCCTTACAATGGGATATTATGCAGTCTCCTAAAATAACAAAGCAGTTGTTTATGTACTGATACAGAAAATCTTGGAGGTACATTATTAGGTGAAAAAGCAAGGTGTGTGACAGTGTTTGTAGCCTGTTACCATCTCTGCTTTACTTTAAAGAATATTTACATTATATGCTGACATATGCATAGCATATCTCTGTAAGGAGATGTACTAAACTGGTAGGAGTAATTGCTTTTGGAGAGAGGAGCTGCTGTGTGGTACCTTTTGAAATTTTTACGTCATGCCCATATTACCTATTCAAATAAATGTGAAAAAAGAAAAAAAAAGTTAAGTGATTGCCCCTAGAGAACTGAATAGGGTGTGGGAAGGGTAGAATGGGATGGTGGCTTTTAATTACATATATATAATAAAATATATGTATGTAACAATATTACATATATATAAAATATTGATTTACAAATGCTTTAACTACCAAGAAAAAAGAAAGAAAGGAAAAAAGAAGAAAGAGAAACAGAGAAAGGTGGTCTCTATTGATGTAAGGGTCAGTTGGGGGCAGGCAACCACTCCTGACCATGGCATGTCCCCTTGACAAGGACCAGGGGCTTCCTGTAGTTTCCAGCCTCCTTTATCTGGTTTCTTTCTGTCCTGCCAGGTTTGAAGCATCCAAGTAACTGGTGACCCAGTTCCCAGAAAATCTCCCTTGTTGTCCTTTTGTAAGGGCCCTGGGGGCTGTGGGGCTCTTGGCAGATGCCACATCTGTGGACACAAAGAGAAGCTTATTCTCCTCTTAGCAGGGAGGGGGGACCCATCAGAATGCAGAGAGCCGTCCAGCTGAGGCGGAACACCCCTCTCTCCATGGGTCTGGGCTGAAGGCTACTGGGCTCTGGGTGGGGGCAGGGGGGCTTGTCAGTCTCCCTTCACTGCTCACGTCTGTCTCAGTTATCTGCTGCTGCCTAACGAACTGCCCCAGAACTTAGACGCCTAAAACAGCAATTTATTATTATCACTCATAGTCCTGTGGGTTGGTTCGGTAGTTTACTTGGGGTCTCTCATGCAACTGCAGTCAGAAAGCAGCTGCTGCTGGGAGTTCCCTGGTGTCCCATTAGGACCCCGCACTTCCACTGCAGGGGGCCCGGGTTCAATGCCTGGTCAGGGAACTAAGATCCCGTGAGCTGCTAAAATAAACAAACAAACAATAAATAAATAAATAAGCAGCTACTGCTGAAGTCATCTCAAGGCTTGATTGGGCCAGACGTCCAAAGCAGCTTCTTCGCTCACCTGTCTGCTGCCTCGACTGAGATGGTTGGAACAACCAAGGACTAGTGGGCCATCTTTTTCTCTCCATATTGTCTTTTCACATGGCTAGCTTGGGCTTCCTCCCATCATGGTAGTCTCACAGCCAAACTTCTTCGATGGCAACTAATTTATTCCAGAGCAATGTTCCAAAAGCCAAGGTGGAAGCTACGGGGCTTCTTACAACCTCAGAAGTCAGGCACGTCGCTTCTACTCCATTCTGTTGGTTTCGCAGGGTCAGCCCAGAAATGAAAGTGGGAGGGGCCACACCGGAGTGTGAAGAGCAGACTGTGTGGTTCTCTACGGGCCATCTTTGGAGGCCAGCCACTATAGTGTTGCCTGCCAGGAAACACTTTCTTCTCTTCCTCCTCCTCTTACCTCACCAGCCACTCCTTCTTAGTTGCTTTGAGTGGTTTTTGCTCATCTTCTGGCTTCAGATTAATCGAGTGTCCCCCAAACCCAGATCTGGCCTCTTCTCTGCCTACGCACTCTCCCTTACTGGTCTCATCTGGTCTCGCGACTCAAAACACCGATAAGTTGACAACTCCTGAATTTACATCGCCAACCTGGACCTTTCCTCTGAAGTCTAGCCTCTAATATCCAACTGCCTGGGACTTCCCTGGCAGTCTAGTGGTTAAGATGCTGTGCTTCCAACGCAGGGGGAGCAGGTTTGATCCCTGGTTGGGGAACTAAGATCCCACATGGCGTGGCCAAAAAATAAAAATAAAACTAACCATGCAACTGCCTAATTGACATCTGTGCTTGGGTATCAC